ACTTTACACCTCTTTAGTGAGTTTCTTATTTGAATTTGTTAACAAAGAAAACTATAACTATTTAGTTTTCAACATCAGAGACCTGAGAAGGAAATAATATCACCTGAGTAAGCAGGAAGTGAAAGCAAGCGACCTCCAAAAAATGTGAGAAATGACAGAAACAGCTGGCTACCTGGACAGTCACCTAAGGTTCCTCTGTAACGTTGGGGTATCCACCTTCGGCATACAGGCCTAGAATATCTGATAGACTTTTCTGTGAAGCAGGATATTTTGAAGAGCTGTCCTACCTTGTCTTGGCAAAGTTTGGCAGTCACTTTCTTTTGTGTCCTGCTTGTCCAATTTGGACAGCATATTGTCAGCAGTTGAGGCAAGGGCACTTTCTTGCCCAGTGGATAACTTTTGCCACAAAGAAAGCAAACTCCATATGGACTTTCTTTGATGCCCATCATCTTCTCTGAAGTAGATTAGTGCTGCCAGGAGCAGACAAGTCTCATAGTCATAAAAAAAGAAGAATCTATGTTATTAAAACATCTTAAATGCCATATTCTATAGATTTCTGAAGTGTTTAAAGACCACCTGTCTACCAAAAATATATCTATTTGGCCTAGAAAACATGCATAATACGACTACAAGTTTGATTGTAATAGGTAACTAACTACTAACCTGCATTTCTATATTATCCTAAACAGTTTGTAATAATATACTTCAAGGACTAGAAATTTGCATTACATTGTTAAATGAGCTGTATAGATACAATATCTTGAACAAGAGTAGAAATGTATGTACCATATGTTCTGGCAAAAATAATCTCAAATTTGTATCAGTATAAAAAAATCCAAGCCAATGTAAAATATTTAAAACTAGTAGTTGCACTGGGCGGTGGTGGCACACACCTTTAATCCCAGCACGTGGGAGGCAGAGCCAGGCAGATCTCTGTGAGTTCAAGGCCAGCCTGATCTACAGAGAGAGATCCAGGACAGCCAAGGCTACAACGTGAAACCCTGTCTCAAAAACCTAAAAAAATAAATAGGTAGATAAATAGAGACATGCTGGCTCCTGGCAGCACCCCTATCTCCTCCAAGAAAATGGATGGGCACAGAAGAACTTCCACATGGAGCTTGCTTTAAATGTGGCAAAGCTGGCCACAGGGCAGAAAAAAATTCCTTCCACTTCAACTGCTGCCAAGACCCTGTCCAAACTGTGGACAAGCAGGACACTGGGGAACTGATTGCCCTGCTTTGCCAAGACAAGGTAGGCCAGTCTCCCCAAATTCCTACTCCATGGGAAAGTCTGTCAGATCTTCTGGGTCTGGCAGCTGAAGACTGATGCTGCCCTGGGACCCTCTGTCTCCAATGACTATGGAGGAACCTGGGGTCGCTGTCTGGGTAGCCGTTAAGTCTCTGTCATTTTAATAGCTTTGGAAGGTGCTTCACCTCGGCTTACTCAGGTAAAATTTATCCTTCCAGTTCTGATGGCGTTTGATAACTAGGGTACCAATAGCTTGGCCTGTTTAACAGCTCCCCCTGACCCTCCAAGGCTACAACCACTTTGGTAGTTCATTAGATACATTTCTTATTAAAAATACAGACAGGCTTGCCTTGTTCACAGGCTTCACAGTAAAGGATAAACAGGCTTCAAATTTCCTCTGGCTGTTTTCCAAGTGTAGACTTAAAGGTGGGTTTCATCAGGCTAAAACCAAGCTCTCTAGACAGGAGAAATGCCCATGCCTTTGAACCCAAAGCCATGACCTTTGCTAAGGCACCAAGGTGTGAATCTGTTCCAGCTGTTTGATAGATACCTGCATGTTCCCGAGGAAAGAGCGCTGCTACTGTACCGAGGAATCCGGCCTGGTGGGAACTCATGAGTCACTCCACAAACTGTCTGAAGAACTTCGCCAATACAGCCAGGGCACATCTCTGTTCCATTCCTCCCGGCAGTCTTTACTCTTCCCCTGGCCAGCCCTGTTCGTGGGACTAGTGGTAATAATCAATTTTTTTCCTCCTAGCCACTTGTCTTCTCCGCTTCCTCCAGGAACAGATTCCTGAGGTCTCCAGGATGGCAGTGAACTGAGTGCTTCTTCACCCAAACCTCGGCCTGAGTGTGAGTCCACTGACTCCCGACTCCCCTTCCCCAGGAAGTAGTCAGATTTGGACCAGAACCCATATAACCAAGAAGGTGGGTGTGTTCAGCTGGAACTTCCAGCTGAGAAAGCCCCAATTCCTGCCTCTCCAAACCCTGCCCTCTTGGAAAAACTGCCAAGTGGTGGCTTCTCCCCTAATGCTGCATGATCCTTGCCTAAAGCCTTATAACTGGGCACAAACTCAGCTGTGGAGAACACGTCATCACCTCCGTACCTACCGGGTATTTAAGGTCCCTCCTTTAGACTGGCCATGTGATTTCTCTCCTGCCCCTTCTCCCTTCTCAATCACTGGGGGCTGGAGGGTCACCCAGGAATGCTTTGCCCAAATAAACATGGTCTTTTACTTTTTCATTTGGCTTGATCTGGCTTACTGCGTCGGTGGAGAAACCTATTATTGGGGTACAGAAAACCTATCACAAACAAACAAAAAAAGTTAAATAGAAAATAATTGAGTTAGATGCTATGCCAGCCTACACATGAGAATGAATGAAATAAGCAATGGATTCATTCAGGAAAAAACATCCAGAGTGGCACTGTCTAAATCCAAAGCCTTTGCTATTTATTTATTGATTGATTGATTGATTGACTGACTGACTGACTGACTGACTGCATAGACAGGGTCTCCTGAGTAGTCTGGCTGTCTTTGAGCATATCCATAGACCAGACTGGCTTTGAACTTCTGGTGACCCTCTTGCCTCTTCCTTTCCAGCTCTGGGATTACAAATGTATAGCATCATGCTTGGTCAAAGCCTCATGGTGCTTTAGGTGTGTCAGGTGTGGTACCTCAGGCCTGTAATCCCAGCACTTGGGAAGCTGAGTCAGGAGGATTGCTGTTTTGAGA